CGCGGGGGGGGGGGGGGGGGGCGGGAGGAGCACGGCGGAGGGGGGAGGGGGGAGCGGGGCGGGGGGCGAGTGGGGGGGGGGAATCGTCGCCCCCGGGGGGTATCGGCCGGGAAAGGCGCCGGTGATGGGCGAGCACGGCCCCGGCGGGGAGGGCTCCGCGGAGTTGTGCGGGGGGGGAGGCCGCGGAGCATCCGCGGGGTCCGGGTTAACCGGCGGGGACGTGCCGGGGGTATCAGGGTCTTTGGGGGGGTCCTGTGCTGTGGCCAGCGCTCTAACGGGACTGGTGGCCAGCTTTGCCAAGCCGCAGCCTCCTTAACAATACGGGAGTGACGGTGGTGGCTGGTCTCGAGGGAGGGTTTTGGGTCCCTGGGCGTGTGGAGAGCAGCGTGGCACAGGTCTGCGCCCAGAGGGCTGGTGGTGTGGCTTGTTGGGGGCGAGGTTTTGGGTCTGTGGGCTTTGGGCTGTGGAGAGCAGACCGGCACAGGTCTTCCCCAAGGGAGTGATGGATGGTGGTGGCTCCTCAGGGGCAAAGCTCTGGGTCCACGGGCTTTGGGTTGTGGAGAGAAGACTGGTGCAGGTCTTCTCCTGAGCGTAAAGGCAAACCACTGACGTGCCTCTGCTTTAAATGTGCCTGTGGATGAAGCCACCCATCTGCTGGACCTGCTGCTCTGGTCCCTGCTTGTCCAGAAACCGGTTGGGTTGGGTCCTTGGGAAGTCAAATTACTGCAAAGAAAATTGATTCTGTTCTGTCTCCTGCCAGGACATGTGGGCAACAGCGTTAATGTGCATTGCGGTGTAACGCGATGGCTTCTCTTGCTTTTCTGCCCCCTGAGATGCAGGCTGAAAGTACAGCTTCTAAGGCATCTGTGCAGCTCTGCCTGCCTTTCTGCACAAAATGTCAGCTATCCCGCAGAACTGCACATTTCCTATTTTCAGTCCTAGTGGAATATTTGATGCCAGTACAAATAAGCTCTAAAAATAGAAGAGGGGGGAAGCAGCCACTGGTTTCGTTGACTTTTCCAGAGACCAAAGTGAACTCGGTTTTCCAGTGGTCGCTGGTCCATCTGACTGCTCGGGGCAGCATGGTGCTTGGCTGCGATGTCCACTGTCACTTGGCAAAATCGCGTTGCCTGTTCGCACAAATTAAAGTGTAAAGAACAAAGTTCCGGAAGAAATTAAGAGTATAACTTGTTTACATAGACATTTGCGGAGCAGAGTTCAAACACGACCATCTGGAGTTGTATTGCTGCCACTTCTGATTATCACAAATAGCGATCTGGGAGAGCAGCTGCCAGCTTTGCTCTGTCATAGGTCAGCCCTGAGCAGTGTCCACTTGGCCCTTCCAGGAGAGTGTGTAATCAGCCCCCTGTCCACCGAGACTGGACCGGCTTCGGGCTCCCGTCTTTCAAGTGGAAATTTCCATATCCTGTGTTTCGGATGCTTTCTCGAACTTGAGTGAGGGGGAACAATGCTGGCAGCTCCCTTCAGAAACTTGCCTATAAGGGGAAAAATAATGTAATGATACACTGAGCATCTCGATAGGAAGTTTGCAACTGTCTGTTGAACAAAGTGTACAAACACTTGGAGCTACTGCTTCCAGTGGCCTTGTGCAAAGG